TATTATTAAACAACTATCCGAGATATGCTTCATATATGAATATCTGCAAAAAGATGTATAACTAGCTATAGATATTATTGTAGCAGATAATAAATGTATATACAATATCAAATACTGATACAAAGAATATGAGAAGAGCGATAAAGTTTAGCTAAAACTTAGCAAAGCATATAAGCTACTGCTATACTAAGCTAACAAGATATAAGCTTTTTGCAAAAACTCTTTTATAATTATTAGAAAAGTATTATCTTTAGCTTATGAACTTAACTTCAAAACTAGTAACTGTAATGCTGATATTCAAGTATACTCAGTGATCAGCATTCAGTATCTGAATCGGTACAAGCTTACCAACAATCTCTTTAACTGCTAGCTACCTAAGCTTAGCTCGATCAAGCATAATGAAGATAGCAATGACTCAATTGAACCTAATAAGAACTACTATGAAATCGATTGCATTATAAACAAGAAGATTAAGCAACGAGATAGCAAGAATATAGTGCAATATCTGGTATAATGAAAGAGATGATCCTTGCAGCATAATTGCTGAAAGAATTTGAGAAGCCTTAAGTGCTCTAGCTTCATTAAGGAATACAAATACATACACTTCAACAAAGCTACAGAAATCCTTGTGAAAGACAGCCTAGCTAACCCTGTAAAGAGAAAGCGCAGCTAGCTTTCCAAGAAGCTGTTGCCTAACAGCAATGAAGATGGAAAAGCTGTATCAGCACAGAGAAAGCAAGATCAGCCTACCAAGAGCACAGCCTCTCCAGCTGTTAACATTGATGCATCTAACAACGCATCTGAAGGCCTCCCTGAGCTTGAAAAGGATGGAAAACAAAGCCCTGAGATCTCTCCTGGCTTCCGAAGAAGCGCAAGACTGATACGTAGATACGTAATCCCTAGATAGCTGCTGAGAACAGCAGAAACGTTTTTCCGTGGCTGGCACTTGTGGCAGTGGCTATAAGAGCTTTAGGTGAATGAGGCTTGAGTAGCCACTCTGACTTACTAGCCTGAGCTATTCAATGGAAAGGCAGTGAGTTGCCAGGTACGCTAGCTCAGTTGGGATTAGTGCTAATTGTCTTCTATATAGAAAGCAATTGGCAAGCGTGTCTTGAGATAGATTAATTGAAGAATCATCTTCCCTTCTATCATTTGTACAGCCCCTAGAGTGCTTTCTACATAGGATGAGAATATATTCAGTTTTTCATATCTTACTGCTGAAATCAGCAGTATAGAAAACACTAGCAAACAATATAGCAGAAGTAGAAAACAACAAACCAGAGTATAAGGTAGAGAAGATTCTCAAGCACAGAGGTACAAATAGTACAAGAGAATACCTCATCAAATGAAAAAGCTACCCAACAAGCGAAAACTCATGAGAACTACAGAAGAACGTCGAGAATGCTCAAGAAAGAATAGCTGAGTATTGGAAAAGAAAGAAAACCACTACTTAAGACCTCTCTGCCCCGGAACGAGAATCAAACGCTGCAGTTTCACTCTCCAGAAGAGAAAGCTAACCAGACACGCTAGGATCAAAAGCCAAGGAACTTCAATCAATAACCTCAAGATATCCCTGAAACATCAGACGAATCTCCTCTTTACAAAGACTGCAATCCTCCTCATCAGCAAACCCCTCCAAGGAATTGAAATCACAATGAATCATTTCTGCAACACGCTTTTCTAACAGCTTTTGCTATTTCTATATACGATCAAGACGAGCTTGCAACGCTAGTAAGGCTTGTAGAGCAGCAGCATTTGCTAACTCTGTCTCAGCTTCCTCGCTCAAAACCTTGCACTTTTTATAAATCAAATATTCTGCTGAAAAAGAAAATCAGTAATTACAGAGAATATCAAGAAACAAAGAAACTAATTAGCAGAAGCTGAGAAACAATTAGTATTATAGCTTTAATCTAGAGAAATATACTCTCTATAATAAGAAGAGTTTTTAGCGAAATAATAGAAAGCTTTCATCTTTTAATAATGAGCATAAGCAGGCATTTCGATATCAAAAGCAGAAATAAGCTCAGCAAGATAATAATGCTCTTGAGTTTTCACCAAACGATTAGAATTGTAGAAAGCACTCTAGGAGCTGTACAAATGATAGAAGGGAAGATGATTCTTCAATTAATCTATCTTAAAGCACGCTTGCCAATTGCCTTCTATATAGAAAGCAATTAGTACTAGTCCCAACTGAGCTAGCATATCTAGCAACTCACTGCCTTTCCATTGAATGGCTTAAGCTAGTAAGTCAGGGTGGCTACTCAGGCTTCATTTACCTAAGGCTTCTATGGCCACTGCTACAAGTGCCGGCTACAGAAAAACGTTCCTGCTATCCTCAGCAGCTATCTAGAGATCACGTATCCACGTATCAGTCTCGCGCTTCTTCGAAAGCTAGGAGAGATCTCAGAGCTCTGTTTTCCATTCTTTTCAGGCTCAGAGAGGCTTTCAGATGCATTGTTAGATGCATCAATGTTAACAGCTGAGAAGGCTGTGCTCTTAGCAGGCTGATCTCGCTTCCTCCGTGCTAGTACAGCTTCTTCATTCTCATTGCTATTAGGCAACAGTTTCTTGGAAGGCTAGCCGCACTTTCTCTTCACAGGATTAGCTGAGCTATCTTTCATAAGGATTTCTATAGCCTTATTGAAATGTATGTGTTTGTATTCCTTGATAAAGCTAGGGCACTTAAGGCTTCTCAAATCCTTCTAGCGATTATACTGCAAGAACCATTCCTTTCATTATATCAGATATTGCATTATATTCTTGCTATCTCATTGCTCGATCTTCTTATTTATAATGCAATTAACTTCGTAGTAGTTCTTATCAGATTTAATTGAGTTATTGCTATCTTTATTATGCTCGATTAAGCTAAGCTTAGATAGCTGGCAGTTGAAGGAATCATTAGTAAGCTTATACTAATTCAGATACTGAATGCTAACCACTGAGTATATTTAAACATTAGTATTACAGTTACCAGTTTTAAAGTTAAGTTTATAAGCTAAAGATAATACTTTTCTAATAATCATAAAAGAACCTTTGCAAAGAGCTTATATCTTATTAGCTTAGTGCAGTAGTAGCTTGTATATCTTGCTAAGTTTTAATTAGACTTTATTGCTCTTCTCATATTCTTCGTATTAGTATTTAGCATTATATATGCATTTATTATCTGCTGCAATAATATCTATAGCTAATTATGCATCTTTTTGCAGATATTTACGTATAAAGCATATCTCGAACAGTTGTTTAGTAATATTAATTAATCAGTTAAATAATAACTGAATCTTGAATCCGAATAGAAACTCATAAGAGCTTATATCAATAGAGTATTAATATGAGTTATTCAGATTTTACTGCAAAGAGGGAATTAGATCTATTCAAATCTTATCAGGATATTCAACAGCGTGATATCTAATAGCTAGCTTAATATTCTGATTTTTTCGTTCAGCTGCTCCATTAGCCTGAGAATGATATGCTATAATTATTTATAAATGCATGCTAAAGGCTTTTTATAAGCTTATTTAGTAGTCTGAAGTGAATTTAGCATTGCAGTTAGAGATAATTGCTTGAGAGCATGCTCAGTTGCTCAATAGCAGCTATCTGCTCAGAACAGCTCCCTATTGCTTAGCTAAGTAGATTGAGTAGCCTGGAATCAGTAGAGTTCTTTTAGAAGTCTTGCAAGTAATAAGCATTAGCAAGTTGTAAGCTTTGAAGCCTTTTACCTGCTACAGAATGCTTATTGATTCGACTGAGAGCAATCCAAGAATGAAGTTGAGAGAAATCATATGCATAGATTCAGAGAGAGCCTGAATCAGTTGAAATAAACCTGCTAGCTTCTGATTTTGCTTCTTCTAAGCGCTACACTCGTAGCAGTAATCAATATACTATAAGATAAGCAGTTGCTTCTTCCTGAAATAAAGACTATCCAACTCAGCCATTATACAGTTTCTGCTAAAATAGTGCTTATTATTATATGCATTGTATAGAAGTTCCTGCACTAGAGATTGTAAGATAATAAAGCGTTCTTTTTCATTATTATTATAATTATACAATAGTTGGTTCTTCAAGCGGAATGAATAGCTAAGCTTAGAAGCAGAGACAATATTCTCATTGTTTACCAAGATAGAAGGCTTCTTTCTAGCTAAACCGATCTTTATTAGATTTGTAATAATATTTCTATAAACTATATTCTTCTTATATTCTTGCTAGAAGCGCTATTACATATTCTCAGATATTTATACTTCTGATAAAACAAGGAAGATTGTAGGTAGATTATTAACTACTGTATCGAGAGTAGCTGATTCGTTGCTCTGTTGTATCTCTGCATCTCCTATTATAGACAGCTTTAATAAGATATCAGGGATATAGTTGAGCTTCTCAGCTAGATAGTGAATATTGAACTAGTACTGGCTGAGATAAATGAAAGCATTAATAAGATGTTGGTTAGCATGGTTTGTAAATAAGGTATTAAGGTGCGTTTGGATAATAATGCTATGCGTAGCGTTGTAATCTGTGAGAATAACTACAGGCTGCACTTGGTTTGATTGAATCAGCTTGTATAAGCATTTCGTTGCTCAGACTAGATATACAATCTCTTGCTTAAAGGGATTGTAGTTCATTTTAGCTTTTGTTAAGCAGTAGCTGAGAAATATTACTAGTTTGATAGCATGCAAGGGGATTAGCTTGCTAGATTGCTAGATATAGTCTTTCTTCAACTAAAAAATTATTATGCTAAATCCTTATTGCAAGCATCCATCTATTTGAATAAACAGCTTTTGCAATAGTTCTATATAGTACAAGCGTATCTTTCTGCAGATAGTATTCTATAGATCTTCGAAAGCTATCTTTTCAGCATCTGTTAGCTTGTAATATATACAATATGTATAAGCTTAATACTGCGATTTCTTCTCAGATGTAATTTTTCCAAGCTTATAGCCTTCAGCTAGCAGCGCTATCTTTTACAGTTAAAGCAGTTCTACAAGCTGCATGTAATATGAAATCATTATTCATAGGAAACCAGTTATACTAAGATAAGTTTCGAAATTCTTAAGATTTCTAAAGAAGATTATCTTCCGAAAGGCTTTAGTATGTTTCTTTGTAATAAACAGGCTAAGCATATCGATATAGAAGCTAAGAAGTTCAATTGAGAGGAAACCGATATAACTCTTTGTAAAAGAAATAGAGATTCCCTTCTTATCAAAGATATTCAGAGCAATATTGAAATGCTTCAGATAGTTCTTAAATAAATCTGAGAAGATTATAATATTATTAATAAATGCTTTAATAAAGTGCTTATGATCACGAAGTAGCTTGTTCATATACCTCTGAGCATAAGCTAGCGAGTTGCAGTAGCTTATTAGAGCTACTGTTGATTGCTTAAGGCTATAGTATATAATTATAGTCTAATAATTATAATACTCAGAATGAATAGAGAACTGGTAAAAGAAAGCTGTAGCATTGATAACTGTGATATGCTGCTTACTGCATATAGCTTTAATTACATCTGACTGAAGAGGAAGAGAGTAATTATTAAGTACTGCTCACTTGTTAAAAGCTCTGAAATCTGCAATAATGCAGCTTTTTTCCTTTCTATATACTGTTCGCTAGACTATGAAGATCAGCAATGCAAATGAATAGATATTATTAGCGAATTCGAAGTAGCTAGCTTTATGCATTTCTTTATATATCTAATCGATGAACTTCTTATTCTTGCGGGAAACAGAGTAGCAGAAATGATTCAGTTTTGTATATTGCTATTCTTTCATTAAGGGAATCTTTATCATCTGGTTCTCAAGTATATTAAGAGAGCTTTTGTTTTCTTATATAGCAGGATATTTTTCAACAATTCTCTTGAATTGTTAAGCTTTGATCGGATTCTATGAATAGATGCGAATGCTGTTATTAAGAACTATTGCTGGGGCTTCATCTGAAGCTTTGATGCTCAGGGATCCCTTGATAATAATCGAAGATTTCCGTATATCGAAGTTGTAATTATCGGATAGTAATACTTCAATATTCATTGAGAAGTTAATACTATAAGCTATTTCCATATTGCTGAAGGAGTAATAAACAGCATTGCTGTAAGATGTAGAGAATAAGCTATTTCTTAGCAGGAAATTACTAATAGAATGTATCTCTGTTTCTATACTCTTAGCTATTGCAATGATCTCTAGCATAAAGTTGAATTCTCTGTTTACTGCTATCTAATTAACAGAAATCTTCAATAAAGATGCGAATTGTATGCTATATGCACTTATTGTATGAGTATTAGCTGGCTAATAAGTTAATGCTAGTTCTTTCAAAGCAGCTGCTACTGCTAGAGCTTTTACAGCGCTCTTGAAAGTAGCTTTGAACTATCCCGTATTCTCATACTTGTGGATAGTTCTTATACGGATGCTTTTAGGAATCTTAATAGCTCCTTCCGTAGCGTTATACAGAGCTACTACAGGAGATGAAGAAGCATTGATCTGCATATTCAGTGCAGTGCTGTGAATTGATATGAAAGAGAATGAGCAGCTTTTGAGCAGTTCAGCATACCTTACAGCCACTTAAGCAGTCTCGCCAGAGCTGATAACATAGGCATAGGCCATCCTCACCTTTCGCACTGTAGGTAAGAGGGCTTGATGCTGAATCTCGAAAAGCATCTGGAAATTGCTTTGCTCTGAATATGTAATAGCTTAATTCTCGTAATTGATAATAGCTTTGCAAGCTTTGAGCTATCCATTGCTGATAAGAGCTTCAGCAGATAGGTTATCCATAATCCATGCCTCAGCATGCTAGCACAGCAGTTCAGAAGAGCTGTTAGCACGCCTGCTACAGGCATAGAAGTCCCATTCAGCATATTTGAATAGCATAATCGTGCTCTTTCCCATACTCCCAATCTTTTGAAGCTTATAAACCGAAACCTCAGCAGCAGAGAACTAACTGAGGAACTGTTAGTTCATCAAGTTGTAATCAGTGCTAGTATCTTTGCAGAGAGTTATATCAGATCCGGTGAAAATAGCTTGTACAGTGATTTTCATATGAGTATAACTGCTGATAAGCTCATTCAGCTGCTTTTCGAGCATAGCTTCCGTAAGAATATCTTCATCACAGTATTGAACTAGTAGTATGCTTGTTTCAAGCAAAGTAGTTTCAAAAGATATAGCATACTTCAAACATCTCTTAACCTCTTTAAAGACATTCATCTTCTAATCTCGATCCTAGCAAGCGCTTACATACTGAAATATTTAGCTTCGAGAATCAAACTTTCTATCACAGAAAATACATATGCAGTTAACTAGATAGTCAACTTCGCATAAGTTATAGATACAGCCTACAGAGCTAAGCAATCGAGAGTAGTATAACGAGATTAGCAAGAGTAATCATTCAGAACTATTAATTCAGTATATCTGCTTATTGCTAAGCAAAGATAAGTTATTACTATTATTCTCAGAAAGCATGTCTTCATCCTTGTTCTCAGTAACATTATAAGCTTTCTTTTTATTAGAGATTGCTAAGCAACTCCAGTTGCATTTCTTGCAATCCTCAGACTTGCTATCCTTTCTGAACTAATTATAATCATAATTGTAGTTACAATTCCGAAGCTTATTACAGTTGAAATCTCAGTTTTAGTATAAATTGCAATCTCAAAGCTTATATCTTGAGAAACGAGTTATATTCTTATTATAATAGCTTAACCGATCTTTGTTGCAGCAATTATAATTATAATTCCTTCTGCGATTACAATTGCAATTATTTTAATAATCTTAGTTATTGCAGCAGTTGCTGCTAGTATAAGAGTTATACTTGCAGGCTGGAGAATGATCTTAACAACTACTCTTTTCTCTATAGTACTCAGAGTAGCATTAATCAGCAATGTTGACTAAGATGCTCTTAGCTTGCTCAATCTTCTCTATATACTCATTCAGAGTGTTGTAGCAATGAGGAGGAGCAAGGTGATGCTGAATGCATTCATCTATCTTACTTCAGATATTGTTCAAGATGCCTTTTCAGTTGAGATTCTCGCAATCGAGAATGCTTATACTGCATATATATCGGAGGTTTTTCTGAATAAACTTTTGCAGAGTAAACTTGTTCTTAGCAATATTTCTCAAGATTAGATAGCTTTCGCGGAACTTTCGCATAGTATGCATAGATTTCATAGCGAATTGCTAAGCTAGGAGATTAGTAATAACGCTATATCCTTCTTAACAAAGCTTAGTATACTTAGTATTAATCAACTTATTAGTTCACTAGTAAATAATAGCGCTTTGCAGTAAGATGCTGAATATATGCAATATTTCATTCTCAATATCAGCATTATTTGTATCATTTTTGAGAGACTCAAGACAGTTTAGAAAGAATCAAATATCAGTAAAGATGAGGTTCTTGCTAACTGTAATCATGCTAACATCTTCGGAGTTGTTGTATTTAGAGTTGAAGACTTCAAGTTCCTCTCTTTTTATTTTAGTAATGTATTGAATGCTTGATTAATTAGAGAATGGAGTATTGTTGCGCTGATTACAGGAGTTGCTTGATTCAAGTTCTAGAGGCTTATTAGGAGAATGATAGCTTTTATTACCGCTTTCTTAATCATCAGAGTTATTACTCGAATCATTAAAATCATCTTCTTCAGCGCCATAGTAAACAGCTTGTTAAGGAGCTGCTGAACCTTGTGAAGAGCTAGGTATAGCAGGGAATAGATTATCATTGCTAGCCTGAAAGCGAATATCTGAAGCAGTAGCTTCAGAGCCAAGCTTGAAGTAATGCATTAGCTGAGCTAGCATATCAGTTTGTTTACCAACTTGAGTATCGAAAGCTCCTTGTTTGATAGCTATTATAGCTTGCTAAGTCTCAAAATGTGCTACAGCTTTCAAGATCTTTCTGATTTCTAGGTTTGCATGAATCGCAGCTATCTTAGCATCGTTAGCTTGCATCTTAATATAACGAATATACTCCTTAAAGGCAGAGTTGTTTAAGAAGTTAGCTAGTTCTTCAGAATTCTCATATTGAAGAGTGCTAGTCTCGCATTGCACAGCAGAGAACTCGAACAGTACTGAGCTGTTGTTATAGTAGTCTCCCGCCTGAAATGGGTTGTTCTAACTAGCAGTTTCTTCTTCTCAAGAAGCTATCGCATCTTCACTCGTCGAGCGTCCATGAAGAAGTTTGGAGTCTTTGCTTAGCTGTATTGCCAGACTAGCAGCTAGGTCAGCTGTAGTAGCACAGTAGATAAGTGGTTGAGTTGGGTTCTTTGAGAAACTGCTCATAGTTAGCTTAGCTTATCTGATCATCTTGCTAGAATTAAAATTAACAGTGAATTGCTATTAATCAAGCTAATTAGCAACAAGCAATAGATGGATATGAAGGCTAGAGGATGGTTTAGGCTTCTCAGGCGAGCATGCTGTAACCAGGGTAACTCGTGGCGTTTGCGCGAGGATGTCTATGGTGCTTGCGAGGATCAGAGTATGCTTGCTGATTTCAACTGCCAGGGCTTCCACCAGCGATGGGGTAAAAGGAAAAAACAGCTTAGCTGTGAATGCTTGTAAATGCCCGTGAGCGTGTTTTTGATAGTTTTTTGTAGTGTTTTTAATGAAAACGCCTGTTTGCAAGATCTCAGATGAGCGTAACGCATCAGGAAAGTCCGTGGCACAGTCTCAGGTAAGCGTGATGCCAAGAGCTTGTTGTTTTGGTGCCACAATCTTCACAATAGTAGGCTTTTGGTATTTTTGAGTTGCCAAGGCCGCTGATTTCCCAGGTGGGCGTGTCAGCGCAGTGGCTTCATGGGATGAATCCTCAAGGAATTCCTCAATGCAGTGTATGATTGTAGCTACTACTTGTAGAAGGCACTTTAGGGGCTGTATAAATGGTAGAAGGGAAGATGATTCTTCAATTAATCTATTTCAAGGCACGCTTGCCAATTGCCTTCTATATAGAAGGCAATTAGCACTAGTTCCAACTGAGCTAGCGTATCTGGCGACTCACTGCCTTTCCATTGAATGGCTCAGGCCAGTGAGTCAGGGTAGCCACCCAGGCCTCATTCACTTAAGGCCCCTATGGCCACTGCCACAAGAATACAATTTGTTAATTCTATTCAACATCTTGATTAGAAAGATATGATTATATATGCGAATAACTTGCTTGAATACTTATAAAAGATTATTAGAAATAATGATTAATAGAAGGGAAATGATATTATAATTCATTCAATATGCAGATTACTAGCTAGAATATCCGAAATAACTATTCGGAAAGATAGAAAAGGATTTAATATCTTAAGAACTAAAGCTTATATAAGCAAGGGTTAGGATTACAGGATTAGAATGAATCAGTAGCTGAT